CGGCACAAGCGGAACCGCGCGACCACATTCGCCGCCTGCTCGGCGCCCCAGCCCGGCCCCTCTGCGTCGCCGCACCCTTGATGTTGCGGCTGCCCGCCACGGTGTGCAGGGTGGCGGCAAAGTCGTGGGGCATGTCGGGGACGGGCAGGAAGGTGGCCTGCGCGTGGTGGTACAGGTACCGCCCGCACCGGTACTCCAGCAGCCGGTCGTACCCGTCGCCGCCCTTGAGCGGCGCGGTGGCCGCCACCGTGGGGGAGGCGATGGGGGACTCGTCCTCTGACAGCACATGGTGGTGGTGGTGGTGGGAGGAGGAGGCGGACAGCGACAGCGAGGCGGAGCCGTTGGCCTGGATGCTGATGCTGCTGAAGCTGGCCATCTTCTGCACGCGCACCAGGTCCTCGTGCCGGTCCACCAGCTGCGCAGGGTGAGGCGGGGCGGGGGAGGCGCGGGAAAGGTTGCCAGGGGCGGCGTGTGCACGGGATGGGTAGGAGCGGCGGTGCAACACGAGATGTCTGTGCCAGCACCAGCAGCAGGCCGCAGCACGCGGCAGGCACCCACCGTGACCACCACATACTCGGCCTGGGCCAGCGGGCAGGGCACCAGGGCGAGCAGCACGCGCAGCCGCATGAACCAGCGGGACAGCAGGAAGAGCAGGCCGCCGGTCAGCACACACAGGGCCCAGAACAGGATCTGGCGGTACAGCGGGGAGCGGTAGCCCTGGAAGCCCGCAATGTCCTGTAGAGACAGGAGGCAAGGCAGCCAGGTGAGCGGTGCTGCCTTGTGCCGCATGCAGGCACCGGTGCCGAAATGGGTTGAGGGGCGGTTGCAGGCGGCGCTGGCCGGCGGCGCGTGCAACTCGTGCAGCCTGGCTGGCGCAGGCACGCAGCACCGACCTTGTCCTGCTCCAGCGCATCGGGCAGGGGTGCGCAGGCCGAGTCCTGTGCCTTGTGGGGCAGGAGGCTGGAGAGCTCCACCTGACCGTCGCGCGGCAGCTGCTTCATTTTCGCAGACGTTTCTAGGCCGCCGCGGCTAGCCGTAGGAGCATGGGGCTATAGTGCAGTTGCTTTTGCGAAGTTTGTTGGGGCTCTCTTATCTGCCGTAGCACGCGCAGCTGCCCAGCATGCTGCATATATCAGTGAAAGGCATGAACCGACGCGGCAAAAAACATGCACTCTTGACTGCAGTACTGACAACAACGTACCGCGGGCTGGGACTTTTGCCCAGAGCCTCCTCAGGTGTAGTTGTCATGTTGAGATGCTGCTGCTAGGATCGCACACGTGCTGATCCGCTGCAATTTAGTTCTGCGTTCTTGGCGCTGTTGGCGCCGCACGAATGGCGCGCACCACCGCAGGTACATAAAACGGGTCGTCAGGAAGCCGGTGGGGTGTGTGGCGTGCAGGCGGGCTGCAGGAGGACCTTGCCGCTCATGGCGCCCGCCGCACCCTGCTCAGTTGCCGTGTCCCTCGCAGTCCCCCGTCCCTTACCTGCCGCCCTACCCTGCTCCCCTGTGCCATCAGCCGTGCATGCAGGTGATGTGATGGCCAAGGCGGGCCCGGTGGTGGCCGGCGCCGCCGCCGCTGCCGCCAACTCCGCCGGCATGTCGGACCAAATGATTGGCCTTCTGCTGGCGCTCTCCAGCAGCATCTTCATCGGCTCCAGCTTCGTCATCAAGAAGCGCGGCCTGCGGAGAGCGGGGTCCACCGGCGTGCGCGCAGGTGCGTCGTTGGCTGGCAGCGGGATGAGGGCCCGAGCCCTCGGCCTGGGCCGCGCCGCATGGGCCTGCGCCGCACCTCCACGCCCTACCCACGCCCTGCCCACCCCATGCAGGCAGCGGCGGCTTCTCCTACCTGCTGGAGCCGCTGTGGTGGGTGGGCCTGATCACCATGGCTCTGGGGGAGGTGGCCAACTTTGCGGCCTACGCCTTTGCCCCCGCCATCCTGGTCACGCCGCTGGGGGCGCTCAGCATCATCATCAGGTGCGCTAGTGGCTGGCTGGGGGCGGTGCACTTGGTGGGGCCGAGGTGGGGCAAGAGGCAGGGCAGCACCGCTGGAGGTGCAGGGGGAGGCGTGTCGGTGTGGGGGCCGCAGTATCATGGGAGGCCTGCTGCGCGCCACGAACCGCCCCACGCTGCCCTCTGCCCCGGCCCCTGGCTGCAGCGCTGTGCTGGCTCACTACCTGCTGAACGAGAAGCTCAACGCCTTTGGCGTGGTGGGCTGCCTGCTGTGCATCTCGGGCAGCCTGGCCATCGTGCTGCACGCCCCCGAGGAGCGCCCCATCGCCTCGGTGCTGCAAGTCTGGACGCTGGCCACGCAGCCAGGTGGGGGCGCGCCCCATGCTGCCGCACCGCCCACGTGCCCACCGCCCCCTGCCTGCCGGCATGCGCCGGTGCAGAGGCCACCCGGCGCTGGCGGGAAGCCTGGAGCCCCTCACCCCCAACCTAGCTTGCCTGGTCCCCGCCCGCCCTGCCTGCCCGCCCTGCCTGCCCCCCTGCGTGCAGGTTTCTTGCTGTACGTGTGCGTGGCGCTGGCTGCCACCATGTACCTCATCTTTGGCGTCAGCCTGGAGGTGCAGGCGGGGAACATACTGGTCTACGTCGCCATCTGCTCCATAGTGGGCTCGCTGTCGGGTGGGTGGGTGGGGCAGGCGTGTGGGGCAGGCGTGTGGATGTGCTGAGGCAGTGGCTCAAGGAGGGGCTGGCATCTGGCATCTGGCTGTGCTTCCTCCCCTGCCCCTCTTCCTCAGCCCCGCCCCCCCTGGCCCGCGTGCCTGTCGCGTGCGCAGTGATGAGCTGCAAGGCGCTGGGCATTGCGCTGAAGCTGACGTTTGAGGGGGACAACCAGATGGCCTACCCCCAGACATACATCTTCATGGTGGTGGTCGCATCCGCGGTGGTCACCCAGGTGCCGCACAGCCCGCGCCGCGCCGCCCTTGGGTTGCTGTGATCAGCCATGTGCCATGTGCCCCATGCCCACAAGCCTCCTGCGGGCTTTTGTTCTCTCTGCTGCCTCACCCTCCCCCCCCCACCCCCACACACAGATGAACTACCTGAACAAGGCGCTGGACCTGTTCAACACCGCCATCGTGACCCCCATCTACTACGTCATGTTCACCACCCTCACCATCGCCGCATCCATGATCATGATGCGCGAGCAGCAGACGCCCACGCAGCTGCTCACAGAGGCGGCGGGCTTTGTGACCATCGTGTGCGGCACCTTCCTGCTGCACACCACCAAGGACGTGGACCTGCCGGTGGAGGCGTTTGCGCAGCTGCTGACGCGGGGAGCATCGCCCGGCGGGGGCGGCAACGGCATGATGGCGCTGGGGCCCAGCAGCGCCAAGCTGGCGGCGGCGGCGGCTGACGATGCGGCAGAGGCGGGGCTGGAGCTGGGCACCGCATCCACGCCAAAGGCGGTGGCGCTGCGGAGAGGCGCTGGCGTGCCGCGGTAGCGGAGCTGGCTGCTGATGGGTGCATGCCGCACGCTGGCGTGAACCCCGTGCTCCACTTTATTACAAACTTGTTATTGTTTCACTCTCAAGATGCCGGCATGCTGTTTTGGTCACAAATATTGCAAGAAGAAGCATCCAAGGTGCGCCATGGCCCGGACGCTGCCCGCAGCCGCAGGCAGGAGGGTTAGCGCTGAAGCCGCGCAGCGGCTGCGCCATACCTCCCTTCCGGCAATTCTCCCGCGGTGGGATGCGACAGCGATGTCCTTCCGTGCCACCAACGCCCGGTGAACCGCGATGGACTGCGAATGGGGGGTGGGGGGTGGGGGGGGGGCAAAACAGGCACGCAAGCGACTGGCTCTGTGTCCCAAAGATCAACAAGCCTCACCAACACTCAGAAGCGACCGAGCTGGCCGCATGCATCGCCATCATGCATTCGCTTGCCTTGGCAGAGTGCAGCGCCAGGCCGGGGTGGTGCTTTCCGTCCGTGTCCACAAGAACAGTGAGCCACTTCTCGCCTGTGCCGGTGACCTTGCAGCAGCACAGGGCAGGCAGGAAAGCTGTCTGGACAACGATGTGCGTGCAACGACACGCTGAACCATCACCACTGCCATCGCCCAGCACATTAATTCTGCAGCCCCACCTCCAGTCGCAGGTTGAACTCCCTGATGAGCCTGTCATGCCGCTTGGCCAACTCCCTCATCCCCGGTGAGTCGGTGATGCATGCCATCTCCTGCCCGTCCACCACCTCCAGCACGTACTGCGAGGAGGGAGGCGCCGCAAAGGGGGGAGCAAAGGGGGGAGGCACTGGTGTGAGTTTCGGGGAGCGCCACCTGTCTGTCTGAGCCCCTCCAGCAGTACACATCAAGAGCCATGCACACACACTGCGTCAACCAAGACCAACCAGAAAGGTCTTAGACCCACCTCAATGTGGTCGCGCTTCAATCCATCCAGCAGCTTCTGGTCCGCCTTGGCCACCGCCTCCGCCTGCACCGCACACGGGCGGGGAGGGATGCGTGTGTGAGTACTGAGGAGGTCACCTGCGCTGCCTCCAAGGCCTTGGAGGCAGTCACTCCCTTCCCTCCTGGCCCCCATATCCTGTCCACCCACGCACCTGTACGGTGCCGGTGGCGCCAGCCTGGGCCTGGGAGGGTCCCGCGCCAGATGTGGTTGGCGTGGCGGTGCTGGCGGCCACGGCATCTGTGGGAGCGCGTGGGATGCGCAGGGTAGGCTGCGTGGGGCTCTGCAGAGGGACCAGATCAGGAAGGAAGCATATCACGCAGCGCTGGACAGGCAGCTGAGCATCTGTGGAAAGGGTCGGCAGCAGCCTGGGCACCGCACAGACGCGTGCAAGGGGCGGTGGCGGGAGGCGGCGGGGGCGCCGCCCAGCCGCCGTCGGACCAGCGAGTTCACCGAGCCGCAAGGCGCTTCTGCTGCTTCCTACAATACCCATGATACATCTGTCCAGCAGGGGCGCCCCAGAGTGCTTGCGAAGCAGCGATCACATGCACTCGATCACATGGCATGCTGCTGCCAGCAACCCCTGGCCCCCGCGCCCCGTCGCACCTGGTGGCCTGGAGGCGAGGCGGGGTTAACACCACCTGGGGTGTCCCCAGCGGCGCAGGAGAGCACAAACTGAAGGGCGCGGCCTCAGGCCATACTGTGGGAGCTGCTGGGTTTCCGGATCTATCCACCCGCTCCTCGAAGCGGCAAGTTAAGGCTAATTGAGATTGTTAGCAGGTGATAGCACACGATGGGCCCGGGTCTGTACCCAGTTGTGCTGCTCCAGGCGGTGCGCCGAGGAGGAGGAGGCCCTCTTCCCCGCCCCGCACCTCCTCCTCGGCCCTCCAGCGTACCCAAGGGATGCTGTGAACATGTCGGGACGTGAGCAGCGGGAGCAGCAACCCCGCCGCCATCGATCGCAGGCACAAGGTGGGCCTGCAGCAGCAGCCTGGCCACTGCCTGCTGGCAGCTGTCTGCTGGCAGCTGGGCACCATAAGGGCAATGCACAGCGGCCTGGCCTGCAGCCCAGCCCACCAGGCGCGCCCGAGCGGCAGCACACACAGCTGCTCGCTTTCCAAGGGACTGCCAGCAGCCTTGGAGGTGGCAGGCAATCATCAGCAGCCACAGCTGCCGCCGCGCCGCTGCGGTGGGGCGAGCGGAGCGGGCGGCGCCCGCCCCGCCCGCCGCCACGCCCAGATTCAAATTTTGCAAGGTGCAGCATTGAGTGGGCACTCATCCCTTCTTGCTGCATGTTACGACAACCCATGCTGCAGGGAGCTCCCTTGGCTGCCGAGCAGGACGGGGCGCCGTGTGGCAACCAGCAGGTGGGCCGGGTGCAAGGAGGTGCGAGTGTGGTTGTGACCGCCCCAGCCGCCCTGCAGAGTATCTGCTCTAGTGCAAGCACCGCATTGATGCGCGCCTCCCCGCCTTCCCACTCTCCACCCTCGTCAGCATGTTGAGTGCCCGCTGCTGCCCGCCTGCTCGTGCAGCCCACCGAGGCAGCGCCGCTGGCGCCTCTGCCGCATCCTCCGCTGGGAGCAGGGGAAAGCGGCCTGCATGTGAACACGGTGAGTGGCGTCGTGTGTGCGGTGTGTGCAAGGTGCGGTGTGTGCCCAGGGGAGGGAGGGCTGGAGCAGTCCGGGCACCTGCCCTACGCCCCGCCATGTTGTGGCTTCAATGCATGCCGCTGCCTCGCCGTGCTCCCCGTCGTCGGGTGTGCCCATTGCGCACCTGCCACTGCCGCCTACTCCCCTGGCCCTTCCAGCGCCTCCTCGTCGCGGCCCGGTGCCTGGAGCGCTGAGCATGCCCTTGCCCGCCACGTGCATCCCATGCAGTCTGTACTGCCAGCATTGCTGCAGGCGCTGCTGCCGCAGCCAGGCGGCATCGCCCACGGCGGCACCGTCCGGCAGGTATGAATGTGTGTTCGGCGTAAGCCGCGGTGCGGAGGCGCATGGGGAGAGGGGAGCGTTCAGCCTCTAAGATCATTACTCTGCTGCTGCCTGCCTGCAGCCGCCGTGCGACTTGCCTGGCGTGCCGAGCGAGCACACAGCTGCCCGCCTCCCTGCCAGCCCCGTGCAGCCCGCAGAGGCAACGGCGCAGGTGTCTGCCAATGCCGCCGTGGCGGCATGCCAGGTGAGGGTGGGTTGCCATAACCGTTGTGCCGCCGCCCTCCCTTCTCCACCGTCCTCCCCTTCTCTCCGACCATCTATGCCTGGTAGCCAACCCCTTCCTCAATGCTCGCACCCACATCCCTCCCCGTGCAGGAAGGGGGGGGGGTCAAGGCGAGCCCGCACCTGCTGGATGCACTGAAGCATGATGGTGCGAAGGTGGGTGCACACCGCGCTCCTGCCGCGTGTCTGTGATGCCGCACTAGTGACTGCCCGGCTGCTCCTTCCTTCGGGCGGGACAGCGAGGCGTGCCTCCCCACCTTGCTGCACCTCCCTCCTGGCAGTACGTGCTGGAGGTGGTGGATGGGCGGGAGATGGCATGCCTCACCGGCTCGCCAGAAATGAGCCGCCTGGACAGCCCGGGCGACATGATCATCGAGGCGTTTAGCCTGGAGGTGCAGGTGGGGCTGCAGAGTCACGATATGCCGGCACGTGCCACGCAATGTGCAGGGCGAGGGCGGCGGCAAAGGTTCAGCGTGTTGCTCCACATGCATTGGCTTGGCCAAACCATCTTTCCTGTGCTATGCTGCCTCCAGGTCTGTGGCCCTGGTGAGAAGATTCGGTCCATCGTGATCGGCACAGACGGCTTGATGCACGACGTCCTCATCCTGCGCTCTGCCAAGGCAAGCGCACGGTCAGCGCATGGGTCAGCAATGGGGGCTGGTAGGTCTGGCAGCCCAAATGCACCCTGTATGCTGCTGCAGCTGGGCCCTGTTCAGCATAAGCATGCCAGGCGTAGCCTAACCCCTTCGAACGCAGAACGCAGCGGTGGGGCGTGCGCTGTCGGCCTCGGTGGACGCCGTGTTGGACCCCAACGTGGAAGTGCCTCTTTTTGACCTGACCGACTGTGACCCGGTGGGCTGGGCCCCCACCCGGAAGGACCGCCGGAAGGGAGGTGAGGGCACACCCAGTGGGGCGGCGTGGCGGGGGGCGGCATTGCCGCTGCTGCTGGGCTGCCAGCGGCAGGAGGGCGCAAGGCAGGCTGCCTGGGCGCGCGCCACCTGCCGGCTGCCGTCTGTTGCTGGCACCCCACCCGTTGTTGGCTGCGCGGGCGCAGCAGCGCCAGCAGCAGATGCTCTGTACCGCTGGTTCTGTACCGCTGGCTATGTGACTGTATCACACACACACACACACACACACACACACACACACACATGCCTCGCCCGCTTTGCTGCCCCGCAGGCAGGACCAACTGGTCTGCAGACCGCCAGGCGGCGGCGGGCGGCATGGACAAGTGGCAAGCAGCAGGTCAGCGGCTGGCACTCGGGCGGGCGGCTGGTGGGGCGCGGCGAGGGGCGGCAGAGGGGTGGGCAGGCACTGCACCGCGTGGTGCATCCAAGCCTGCCCAGCCTCCCTCCACTCTTACCCTCCCATCCTCCATGCTAACCCTGAGCACGCGCCTCCCTGCCCACCCGCAGCCAGCACGCTGGTGGAGGCGACGGCCGCTGACGGCACCAAATAGCCTCCATTTGCCGCTTCAAGGAGCGGGTGGATAGATCTGGAAGCCCAGCGGCCCCAGGGCCCCAAGGTGCTTGTCACAGGCACTATGCATGCACAAATCGGGAACGCCTAATAGAATCGCCAAGGCTTCGGCACAGGCCTCCCCGGGACCCATTCACTACTAGTGGGGGGTACTGCACTTGGCGCGTCGGGCAGATCAAATAATGGTCTAAAGCTAGACGTTAAAACCGGGAAGTGAAGCTTGTGGAGGCTCTTCCCCACCTTTACCTTTACAGTGCAGCCTCCAGTAACCGCACCGCCTGCTGCTGCTCCGACCGGTCACTGCATCCCTAGCACGCTGGGCCTGAATTGCCGCGCCTCCTTGCAAACTGGGCACCAGAGCGATTGCGGAAACAAAATCACAGGAGGAAATGGCAGAAGCAGCCGGGATGGCGGCAGCATGGGACGGCGTGTGTGCGTCTGATGCCGCCCATACGTTACAGGCTGGTGCACAGGACATAGGCGCGCCCCTCCTCCGCTGCCCGCAGCAGCACTCCCGCATGCTCGCTGAACTGGACCTGCAGCAGGCCGTGGCGCGGCGAGCAGCGGCGCACCAGCGCGGGCTGCCACACGCCAGACGGCAGGGCGGCCACCAGCAGCGCACGCCCCACGGCGGCGTCCCCGAGATCCAGCAGCTCCCACACACGCGTGGGCTGCACGCCCGGCGGCAGCTGCGCCACCGCGGCCGCCAGCGGCGCGGGCAGCTGCATGGGCAGGGGCAGCCGCTCCTGCTGTGGCGGGGCCGCCTCGCTCCCCTCCCACGCTGCGGGGCGACTGCCGCCCTGCCCCGGGCTGCCTCCCGCGTCGTCCTCTGCCTGCGCCGGCTCCTCCGGCGGCCGGCCTTGGGGCTGGCCTTGGGACGCCTGCGCCGGCTGTGGCGCCTGCTCTGCCGACCGCGCCTCCAGCTGCTCTGCCTGTTCCTGCGGCTGCTGCGCCTGCTGCTGCGCCTGCAGCACCTGCGCCTGCAGCACCTGCGCCTGCTGCGCCTGCTGCAGGCTGAGCGCGGGCTCCAGCGCGCATGCGGGCCCTCCCACCACCATCGCCGCCGCCGACGTGTCCACCAGCTGCGCCTGGCTGCCCCTCAGGTGCGCGGCGCTGAGGGGCGGCAGCTCGGGCAGCAGCAGGTGGCCGCCGCTGCCCTCGCTGCCGGCCGGGGTGGGGGCGGTGTCAGGCAGCGGGTGAGACAGCTGCCCGGCCAGCGGCGCCTGCGGGCCCACGCGCTGCCGCTTGCCGCGCTCGCCGCTGTCCTGCTCGCTGGAGCGGGTGGACTGCGTGCTGTGGCTGAGCGCCCCGGTTGAGCCACCGGGCTGCGCCACCGCCGCCGCCGCCGCCGCCGCCGCCCGCTTCCTGCAGCCGCCGCTGCCGCCGTCTGGGCTGCTGGCGGAGCGCGGCGCGGAGGCGGGGGCGCCGGGCGCCGCGTGCGGCCCCTCCAGCCACGCCACCTCCCCCGCCTGGATGAGCTGCGTGAACTCCACCACCTCTTCATCACCTGCAGGCAGGCAGGCGGGCAACGGGGGCGGGGCCAGAAGGGCGGCGGGTGTGGAGTGGCAGGGCAGCCAGGCAGTGCCACCAGGGCTACCAGCAGCCCCGCCTCCCCGCCACCATGCCGCCACGGGGCCAAACCTGTTTCGTAGAAGAGCGCGCAGGAGCGGTCGGCCACCGACACGCGCAGCACCACGGCGGGCCACCAGCGGCCGCCGTCGGCCCAGAAGGTCTGCGGGCGCGGGAGGCAGGCAGGCGGGGGGGGTGAGTGGGTGCGGCTGCCGGGCGCGGCGCGGCGCTGCGGCTGGGGGTGCTGCGGCTGGCTGCCAGGCTTGTGAGCGCCACCGGCTGCCGCCTTGCTGCCCACCTGCACCAGCCTGCCCTGCAGCGCGGGCTTGAAGTCCCGAATCTTGAGCAGCCAGGCCGAGGGCGGGGTGGCGGAGGAGGGGCCGTGAGGCTGGTACCCCTCCCCAAAGGGAGACAGGTCGGGCGGGGCGGCGGCGGCGCCGTCGCCAGCCCCCGCCTCCGCCTCACCCGCTCCGCCGCCGCTGGGTCCGCCCGCCCTGGAAGCCGCCCGGCGCTGCTGCTGCTGCTGCTTGGAGGCGGCGCCCTTGCCAGCGCCGCGGGGCGCCTTGCCGGGCCCCGCCCGCCCCTGGCGTGAGGCCGCCGCCGTCCTGGCGGGGGTTCTGCCCTGCTGGCTGCGCCGCCCCGCCCTGCTGCCGCTGCCCACGCTGGTGGAGGGGAGGGGGAGGGAGGCGAGCGAGGCGTCGGGCTCCTGGGAGCGGCTGCGCAGCGACAGGCGCCCGCCGGGGGTGACCACACCCGCCTCCTGAGCCTGCGCCTGTGTCGTGCTGGCGGGGTGCGTGTCAGCCACCAGGGAGGCCAGGGGCACCACCATGGGCAGCGGGGGGGCGGCGGCCGGCGGCACCGCAGCCACGGCGCGGGCCGCTGCGGCGGACGCGGCTGCCTGCCGCGCCTCCTGCGCCGCCCGCACCGCCGCCACCTGCCGCGCAAGCTCCGAGTGGTCGGCCTGGGTTGTTCGGGGGAGGGAGGGGAGGGAGGGTGCAGGAGTTGGGTGTGAGGGGACGCCAGCAGGCACGCCACGCTGCCACGCCGGCCCCTGCCTCTGCCCCAGGATCCCAGCAGGGCAACGGCGCATGCCGCAGCCGTGCAGCCCCCACGCGCTCACAGACACGCTCCCACCCTCCCCACCCGCACATCCACACACCTGCGGGGCACCGCCCAGCTCGGCCCCCAGGTCCGGCCCCAGCACCTGAGGCGGCGCGTAGCTCAGGCCCGCAGACGCCGCCAGGCCCGCCGCCCGCGCCGCCGCCGCCCTGGCCTCCGCCTCAGCCCTCTCCACCGCTGCCGCAGCGGCGGCCGCCGCCTGCTGCGCTGCCGACGCCGCATCAGAGGCAGACTGGCGGGGGTCGGCGGCTGCGCCGCCCGCTGCCTGCTCCCGCCGCTGCTGCTCCGCCTGCTCCCGAGGCAGCGCCTCACGCTTCACCAGCCTGGGCAGCCACAGCACCACCGGGTCGCCGCTGTCAGGTGTGGTCTGGTGCAGCACGTATGCTCTGCAGTCACGCAGCGCCACGCTGGTGCCGCACACGCACCGACATACGGCCCGCCTGCAGGTGGCGGCGGCAGGTGGCGGCGGGGGCGGCGGGTGCGACTCAGGCGGGCGGGCACGCGGGTGCAGCGTGTCAAATGGTGTTCACATTGTCTGAAGCGCACCCTGTGAAGGGGCAAGCCAGGTGGGGTGGCCTGCTTCCCACGTCCATCTCGTGCCGCCCTATCTCATGGCTATGCCTCTCTCCGATATACATGTTGCGGAAACATCCCCGCGGGCTGAAGACTGCAACATTCAGGTTTCTGCCGGTGATGGGCGCGTTCCTCGCCCCCATGGGGCCCATCGAGTGTCCCGTTCTTTTTGCGACATCTCTGAAGGCTCTGTTTCATTCCTGGCTGGATCTTGGATAGACGGCAGGACGCTGGGGCCCTGCCCCAGCCGGCGCCTTTTTGGAGGAGAGAGAGAGAGAGAGAGAGAGAGAGTTCACCATGCCAGTCAGGACCTTCGATCAGGCGGGTTCTGTGCGGCGGGACCCTCCCGCAACTACATGTGGGGAGGCATGCCTGCCCGCAGGCTGCGGCGGCAGCGGCGGCGCCTCGCCACACACCTCTGATTGCTCACCTGCACCCCCTGCCCCTCCTCCCCTGGCCCCGCAGGAGATGGGGTTCATCCAGCAGCTGAGCCCCTACCACTACCGCGTGGCGGCGGGGTTTGTGCCGGGCATGTCGGTGCCGGGCGTGTTTTACGTCAACGACCGCCTCAAGGGGCTGCTGTTTGAGGAGCTGCAGGCCTACTGCCAGCGAGGCGAGCACGGTGGCTTCCTCCCCGCCGTCAAGCAGCTGGCCAATGTGGCCGCGCTGCCCGGCATCGTTAAGGTGCGACAGCGGGGGGCGGCGGCGGCGGCAGCGGGGGGAATGGTCTTGCCCAGCCGCTTGTGCCTGGCGCTGGCGCTGGTGCCTGCTCACCTCGGGTCCCACACCTGCCATCCGCCCACCCAGCCCCCTGCCGTGTGCTCCCCCTGCCGCCCTGCCACCCGCGCAGAAGTCCATAGCGCTGCCTGACGTGCACAGCGGGTACGGCTTTGCCATCGGAAACGTGGCCGCCTTCGACATGGCCGACCCGCAGGCGGTGGTGTCGCCCGGAGGAGTGGGGTTCGACATCAAGCAAGTCGGCCTGCCCGCCTGCCTGCCTGCCTGCATGCGCCCGTTGCTTGTGCTGCAGGCGGCGAGGTGCATGCATGTGGTGAGGCGGCGCGCACCCCCCGGCGTGCTGCAGCTGCGGCGTGCGCCTCATCCGCACCAACCTCACAGAGTCTGACGTGGCGGATGTGCGGGAGCAGCTGGCGCAGGTGGGGGGGACAGCTTGGGGGGGGGGGTGGCAGGGCGCGGGGCAGAGGGGCGGGTGTGTGCACTGGGTTCAGGCAAGGGAGCGGGCTGGGGTGAGCAGGCTGCCACGGCATCGCCCCACACCACCGCCACCACCACCACCTCCACTCACCGCCCCCATCTGCGCAGGCCCTGTTTGACCACATCCCCGTGGGCGTGGGCAGCCAGGGCATCATCCCCACCACCGCCCGGGACCTGGAGGAGGCGCTGGAGATGGGCATGGACTGGAGCCTGAGGGAGGCAAGCAGGCGGCTGCAGGGGGTGGGGTGGGAGGGGTGGGAGGGGTGGGAGGGGCGCCACCACCAGCGTGAGGGCGTGGCCCGCACCGTGTGCGCGACTTGCGCCTGCCCCGCCTCCGCCCGCCCCCCCCCCCAGGGGTACTCTTGGGCCCAGGACAAAGAACACTGGGAGGAGTATGGGGGCATGGTGGGGGGCGAACCCTCCAAAGTGTCGGCGCGGGCCAAAAAACGCGGCCTGCCCCAAAAGGGCACGCTGGGGGGGGGCAACCACT